GAAACTTCAGATTTTGTGATTTTGGTTCTTCATTTTTAATTGAATTCAATTTTAAAATGCAGTATATGGCTGTCACTGCTATATATTTTCAAAAATTTTTTTCTTGGCTCTTTGAGTCATAATGGTTCCCGACCTTAGTGCTAGACGTATCTGCTAGGGGATCGAACTTTTAGGATACATGCTATTTTGAGAGTTTCGATTAATACATAATGGCAGGGTCAGATGTTACACATGGCCAACAGTCTATGTATATGCGTTGATCACAATCAAGTATGCGTGCACAACACCAGGGGAGGGATGATGTTATGTCAGACCCAGCCACGCACGACCGACTACTGCCGTGATCATTTTGCCGACGTCCGTGACGACTACATCGTCAGTACTAGTAAAGCACGCTTATACTACAAAGCAACTACTATTAAAAAAATAGCGCATGCAACCTTAACTGTCAAGTTGGCTTTTTCATACAGATATTCACGGATCTGTATGGACAATAAGTGATGATGAGTTCCCAAGGAGGAAAAGAGACCACAGGACGAATCCATTGCGAATCGTGAGGTATGTCCAGTATTCGCTCCTCGACCACAGCAAAATCAACTGATGGCATGAAGAAGGACTTACGGAAAGTAAAGAGTCTGTCCTGACATACGACGAGAGCGGCTGTTCCTCTACACGTGTCCCAGTTAGCGAGGCGCGTCCACTGTCCCAAGGGCCGCTCGTTGTCGGGCAGGTTGAAGACCTCGACTTTGCTCGAATAATAGCCAAGGTCAGCAATGAAAATGCTGTCCCTGAATGCAACCGCGGTGTGGTATGCACGTGGCTCTAGCAGGTCAGCGGCATCTTTCCAAAAGTCTTTCGACGATTTTCTTGGTCCTTGCCAGTCTGTTGGCTCCCGCAGATGGCACATCTCCACTGAGGATATCGGGGAACCATATATATATCCATCCGGATCTGTTTTCACTTCTTCACCTCCTATCACAAACACGCGTCCGTCTGGCAGTGCAACCGCGGCAGCTCTTACTCGTTTATGTTTCATGTTTGGCAGGGCGTACCACCTGTAAGAGAAGAAAGGCTAGTTATAGGAACGACACCATTAAGCAACTACCAAGATATCTATCGCAGGTGGTTAAGTGAATAAACCCACCAACTGCGATCTTCAGACCATGGTTACTTAGAAGATGAGACGTCATTAAAGGCCAGAGTAGAAGGAAGAGTTTATTATGTACAAAAGGGAACGAAGAGAAGAGGGATAGAGATTTGACTTGGAGAGGTTACGACCGGCAGGAGAGCCAGCCGCGATCCAAGTGGGGTTTAGCAGAAGGCATGCCAGCGGCAGTGAGAAGAGGCATTGTCTGGTTGCCTTGAAGGCGATTGGCCGGACAGACTGCATCGACCAAGGCATGCATGCATCCTATTCGCCGCCGGGAGAGCCCGGCCTTTGCGGATCTGCGATTGGCTGTTGCAGAGGCCGCTTTCAGTGCGGATGCACGCGTTAGCAGCAGTGGGCTTTCGGATATGCTTGCCTATGTGGAGTGAGTCACCACAGGTTGGGCCAGACATGGGGTAGGCAACG